TATACCACAAGGCTGATATTATTAGGTGTCAAGCAGGTGTCAGCATTTTTACAGTATGTTTTAATATTGTAACTGCTATTCATAAATTTAAAACCTTAAAACAGTTAGAAAGTAAATAAAACAGAAAATAAAAAATAGCTAAACCTAAATCTAGATTTAATAATAACTTATTTAAAATTTATTTATTTGCAAACTTATTAAAATGTAAATCATATGACGTAATTTCTTACTTAATTGAATATCTTTATAGACTATACAAATCTTGCAGATGCAATTAACTCAAATTGTTTTTATATAAAAGTAAACTTACTATTTCAACCTTTGTCTTATAGTGCAGAAATATTTTTCCACTTTTTCCTCGTGATACAATCTGTTTCTAAATGAACTACAACCACTTCTTCTCATGATTCAATCTGTTTTAAATAAATTACAACCACTTCTTCTCGTGATACAATCTCTAAATTTTCAATTAAAAGGATTTCTTCACTTTTACCACTTCTTCTCGTGATACAATCTGTTTTTAAATAAATTACAACCACTTCTTCTCGTGATTCAATCTGTAAATGTTTTATTAGAAGTACTGTGAACATCAAAGGACAAAACTATAGTTTTGTCCTTTGATGTTCACAGTGCTTCTTTATGAACAAGCGATAAAGTTACGCATGCGTACCAATATGTAAAAATGTTAATATTGGCCAATATTTGAGTAATGAAAACAAAATAATATTGGGCCAATATTGGCAAACAATATTGCACCAATATTCGCATATCAATATTGGCCAATATTGGCATGTCAATATTGCGCCAATATTATATTCCAATATTAGGAAAATAATATTGGCGTAATATTGGTATGATAATATTGGCCATTATTGATATGCCAATATTGGCGCAATATTGTTTGCCAATATTGGCGCAATATTGCATATCTTGGCCAATCTAGGCCAAGATACCCAATATCGCGCCAATATTGTTTGCTACTTGGGTATATATATATATATATATATATATATATATATATATATATATATATATATATATTAATCATATATATATGTATATTTATATATATATATATATATATATATATATATATATGTATATATATATATATATATATATATATATATATATATATATATATATATATATATATATATATATATATATATATATATATATATATATATATATTATATATATATATATATATATATATATATATATATATATATATGTATATATATGTATATATATATATACATATACAAATATAATATATATTTACAATATATATATATATATACATATATATATATATATATATAAATATATATATATATATATATATATATATATATATATATATATATATATATATTTATATATATATATATATATATTCATATATATATATATATATATATATATATATTATATATATATATATATATATATATATATATATATATATATATACATATATATATATATAAATATATATATATATATATATATATATATATATATATATATATATACATATATTAGGGTGTTCCAAAAAAATGACTTTTTTGAGTTTCAACTAACATTGCTTTTCATAAGGTGCCCCAACCTTGATATTACTAATAATTTTTTTTTTTTTCATGATTAGACCACTCCATGACTTCCCTCAATGAGCCCAAAGGTCATTTTTTGCCCGTTTTTTGCCCATATTTCGGACTAGCTGAGGGGAGTGTTACCATTATCCAAATTAATTTTTCTTTCTTTTTTTTTGTTGTTTTTATATTTTTGATGGAAATAAAAATATAATGTTAAGCTTAATTTTTTTTTTTTTTACTTAAACAATGAAGACCAAAAAATTAAAAAAAAAGGCATTTTTAAGCTTTTTTGCACTATATTAGTGTTCTGCTTATTAACAAGATACTTTACGTATTAAAATATTTATATTTACATAATAAAATCATATTTATAATTAGTTTCTGAAGAAATTAGTTGTCAAACATAGTTCATGTTTATAAATTTATTTTGTAAACAAAGAATTCTTTACATAATCACATTTTTTTTTAATTGTTCTTTCACTCTTATATTTGTTTGATACGAGGAAGGTACTTTGTCTTTTATCCTCATTACGCGATTTATTGATCAATTCCTATTAAAGAATATTTAAAAGTAATGAGCTTGTAAAATAAATTAAGATTTTAACATAAACATTAAGGACCAAACATATAAAATAGTTACCTGAACTAGTTTTATAGCCCTCTCACTACAGTCATTTACTACTTCAAGATTATTCACAAATTGTTTGAATTCTAAGTAATAGTCATTTAGGTCCCATGTCTCAGATGGAATCTTAAGCCACTGTACTTTAGCATTTGCATGGTTTAAGATATGAAAAATTAACCAACTCTGGTCAGTTATAAGCGGGGTCAAACTTGGGGGAGTAACATCATTAAACATAAGGGAGTTCAGTATATTTAAATTAACTTGATGTCTTTCTATGGCATAAGTTGTAGGTCTTGGGGTGAGTACAACTTCTTGGCAATGTCACTCCGTTCTTGTACATTTTTGTCAACAAGAGACATAACTAAAATATTTGGGTCTATGTACCAGGTGTGTCTCTTTAGAGACTCTATAACAGGTTTTGCCTGGACAGGATTGATTTTTGAGTATCTCATCGTCTGCCAAAGAGCTTTCATATCCTAAAAATTTTTAGACTATGAAATATTACACAAAATTTTCAAAGAAAAAAAAGTAATAAAAAGCAAAATGATTAAAAACTTTTAAAACATAGAAATGTCACCTGATATGGAGCGACAGCCGGAATTTCAGCCTTTATAAACCACTCAGTGTAAAATACAGCTGTGAAGAATGCCATATCATTTATTTCTTTCTTCTCAAAATCTGTCAAGCTAGAAATGTTGTTTAGAAGGAGATGCATTTTCAGAAAGTATATTCCCTTTGCCAAAAATCTGGCATGGTGTACAGGCCCAGGTTTTCTTAGCCTGTACTGTTCATCACCAGATAAAACCATTGTTGTCAATTCCACTAACTCTAGATAATCAGACCTACATCCATCCTAAATAAGATTATTTATTTAGACATAAAACAGTACCTTACTAAACTTATTTTATTATAGACTTTATTCAAAATTTTAAATACCTTTTTCATTGTTTTCATACTGATAATATTTTGAGAAAAAGATAAGGCTTCTTTGAACTGTACCTGCAGCCAGCTATCAGAAATATCTTCAATTTTTACTTTGTTTTACACAATCGAATTTTGATCAATTGAGTTCCATACATCTTTAAGCTTCTTAAACAATGGATTATCTGGACCATTTATTTTACTGCTTGGATAAATGTTCCAGCAGTGAATAATATGCCTTTCATAGATGTGATGCCTACATGCTAGGAGAAGTAGTGGTCTATCAAGCTCTGCAGCTAATCTAATGCACACACCCTTTTTATTACCAGTATTTACAGAAGTTGTTTCAAAAACGCATCCTTGTAATTTATCAAAAATATCAAATTGATGAAGAAGTTTTATGATTGTATTCTTCTGTGTTTCTCCAGTACTAGAGCTCAAATGAGGAACCCCAAGAAGCTCACTCTGTCCATCTATCCTGATGGAAACAGCAAGTCTGTCAAGTTGATGTTCTATTCCGCTTGTGAACTCCTTAACTATTTTTCCATCAAAATGGAGAATAATTGGTAATGATGAAGATTTAACAAGATCAGTAACGTGCTTTTTAATCTTTTCTCCTCTTTAGTTACAACTTCTTCTGCAACTCTAAATGCGGTTGAAGAAGATATTGCAAAATTAGTAACATCAACTCCTGAATTAGCAATAACACTTGCCACTATTGCAGTGTGTTGTCTAACTGAAAGTCCTTCACTATTGCTGTGAGAGCTGTTTTTTTTTAAATATTTTTTTGGTAACAAAACAACAGAGGTAGATTGTTCTTTTTTTATATCTGCTACATATTCACAGTCAGAATTATTATCACTACTTGAAGAGTTTTCTAAACTGTATAGATTGTTACCATTGTTTACTTTAATCTCCATGTTTAACATGGAACACAATTTTTTGTGGGATCTCTTAATAGTGTACGTAAACCTTTTATCATTTGTTCCTATTCTTCCTATCCTATTTCCAATTTGGTCTAAGATAAACACAATATCTTCATTTTTGGCTTCGGATGTCCTTCTCCTGTCTTTTATAATATCTTCAATTAGTTCTTCTTTTTTTTTACTAATCCAAAAGCATTGTAACATTTCTTCAAAAAATGCCTCATGCCTTTTCGTATCTGTTGGCTGTTCCTTTTGCTATTCTTCTTTAACTTGTAATAGTTGTTCACCATTTTATCAATCTTCTTTCTTTAAAATGCAAAATTTATTCAATGTTTAAAATAAAGATAAAAATAAATTTGTTGATAAATTTTGAATTCATAATTTACCTGATATTTTCCAAGGTTATGATAGGGAAACCCTGCAAGATTCCATGGCCTTACCAATTTAGACATTACACAACAGTCAGCTTGTGGAGGGCATCTGAGCTCAAATGAATTAATTTCGAAATGACACTAATTAAAACCGTTTTCTTTACTTTGAGATTCAAGTTCTTAGATATAGGTAGTATTGCAAAACCTCTATGCCAGTAGGAAGATTATAACATGAAAGATTTTCTCTAACTTTCTTTACTAGAAATACTTCAGCCTTATTTCGAGTAAGCTTCAACTTCTTTTTTTGGTGGCATTTTACTATAAAATAACTTTTTTTAAGTTAATTAGTTACTAAAAAGATAAATGGTAACCAAAAATATAAAATAAGTTAAAAATCAAATTGCATACACAAGGTAAAATATAATTGTTCACAAAATGAAACAATTATACGCGAATTTAAAATAAACAGAAAACACATTAAAATGGTACATAGACAAAGGTAGTAAAAGGTAGTGAAATATAGTAAAATAAATCAATGTTTTTCAATTTTTTGATC